GTTTGACAACGACCTTTTGAGACTCCCTGTATATATGCTTAGATTATCTCCTAGGAAATGAAAAGACAATTTAGATAATAAAGGTGCATGATTGGATAAATCCAAAATTGTAATTTGTAAATTATTAAATGCTAAATTAATAAAAATTAAAAAGTTTTAAAGACAAGTATATTTGAGCAATTTAAATAGTTGTTGATTTCAAAGCAAGGTCCCGACTTTTCAAGGGAAAATGGAATCCCTCTATATAATCACCAACAATTCATTTGTCTCCCCCCCCCGCCAAACTCGGCTTAAAAGTCCTTATTTTCTTAATCGTTGGTCGTATCCATATACTACTACTAGTTATAGAAATATTTCAATTGAGGAAAATACTCGTGTTTTTGCATTTTCAAGTTTTTAAAAAAAATTTGGACAAACAACAAAATCGGATATTTAATGCGATCTCTCGGTTCCTTTCTCGCTTTGAGAAAGTTTTGTTCTCGTTATGAAAAAATAAAAATATTAGAAATTTGACTCCCGTACGACAAAAAATTACCGGGATATGTAATGTCAATTTGTTTTATGTAATTTTCAACTTTCCTTAATGGATTCGCTAATTAAGTTAGAATAATTCGAGGATATAGCTTTAAGTGAAGTGCAGCAAAAATTGTAGATAATTTAATAGGCGTACAAGAAAGTCATTTGCTGTTCACATCAGATTTTTTGTCCTCTAAAAACAGTACAGCCGCAAAAATGGCGCACAATTAAAATTATTTAAAATTACTAGTCATATAACATTGTAGTATTCTACGGGTTCGTGGATTTGAAGTAATTAATGACAACGCTTGATGACGAATCAAAACACAATTTATTGGCTAGTAGGTGCTATTACACAAGACAGTTCCAAACACACATTTACACTCATCGAAAAACTATGACAAACACGCTGAAACACTCAGCAACACAGCCTTCACGCTGTAACGGTGAAGACACCGTCACGGCAAAGCACTAAAGCTCAGCTCCCGACTCAGTCGATCATTCTCAAGGTAATCTCTGAACTCAAGATACTACTGCTCAACTCGTGCAGGCAGCGAATATATAGCTTTAACCTACCTTCGAGAACGTTCTCGAGGAAATCCGCTAAGAATGCGTTCTCGAAAGTTCTTGATCCGTCTATAGCATATCGCCAATTTTGTCTCTAAATATCACCAAAGGGGTGATTTCGTCCTAAATCTTGTAACCCTGCTTTTTCCTGCCACTTTCTGGTAACCTCAAGCGGAAAGTTATCTCACCGCTTAGCCGCTGAGTATTTCGCAACAATATAGTTTTTAAAAAGGGATAATTGATTATTAAAGAGATGAGTAGTGTCACGATTTTTATTTCAGATTTGAATGATATTTTAAAACTGAAACTCTTGGTTACTAGTATATGAGCCGCAATTAATGGACCAAAGAGCCACTGTTTAACTCTGATTATCAGGTGTAATATCGTGGGCAACGTTCACGGTTAAATCCAAATCGCTTTTCCCAGGAAGGTAGAATCAACAGAAAACATTCTGTTGACAATTTGCTAGTATTTCCGAAGTTTAATCTCTACAAGCTCATTTTGTTACAAAAATAAGATCGATAGTCAAAACGGGAAAAAAAAAATAAAAATGTAAATAATGGGAAGAATAAGATGCATTAGAAATAAATAAATGAAATTATAAATTCATAAGATATAATCGTAAAAGAACTTGACCAGTGTCATAAAATTAATGGTTGTGTACTCTATTTGTTTTTACAATTGAACAATTAAATTTTAACGCATGATTTAACAACGTTTGTATATTCCGGTTTATGTCAATTGAATTGCTTACTATGCGTAAAGCAACTTCTCGATATTTATGAAATCATCTATTGTCACTTCTGTTATTCTAAGCATAAGTAAAAGCGGGAATTTTCATAAGAATATCAAAGTCATTTCGAAGGTGACATGTAAGTCAAGTTACTGAGATATTAGAATAAACAAATGCGTCAGAAGTGTAAAACGATGCACCAAATTTAAACAATTCTTAATTACGGTTTTATCGAAATGCAGTTGTACCTGGGAAAGCTGTCCGTCGCCGGTGATTTATGCATTAACGGTCACTGTGTAGAATCATTAGGTTTGTTAAAACAGGAAACACAAAACTGCTCAGTTCCCTCTTCGTTATTCGAACTCCAGATTTCCCGATTGCTAGCCAGACGCGCTTCCATTACACCCAAAGGCGTGTGGTAAGGAGAAAAATCTTAAAACTTTACCATTTTAAGTTTGTGAAAACCACCAATAATAACTTGTCTAATGTTCTCTAACAACTGTGGATTATCCCTTATATTGTAGGATAAACTTAGTTTACATCCATAAAAGGCACATGTAATAACGGTCGAAAAATTTTCGAAAAACTCCACGAAATACGTATCTAATACTAGAACGCTTAATGTAAATTTTATATCACAAAATAACTAACAACAAATCTTACTGAGAATTAACCTCTGAAGAAATGTCTGAAGTGAAAATAATCGTACTACCATAGCACAAATGGAAATTTTTATCACCAGATAAAACACGCAAATCTTGCCGAGGATTAACCTTGAAAGAAATTCCCGAAGTGGAAATAATCATACTACCAATCGCATAAGTGGAGTTTGATACCACAAGGTAACAACCAACAGATCTTGCCGAGGATTGATCTTCGAAGAAATATCTGAAATGGAAATAATGGTACTACCATAGCATAAGCTGAATTTTATATCACAAGATAAAAACTAACAAATCCTGCCAATGATTAACCCTTGAAAAATCGTCTGAAATGGAAATAATCGTACTACCGTAACATAAGTGGAATTGTATATCAAGATAAAAACCAAAAAATTCTTGCCGAGGATTAATCTTTGAAAAACGTTTGAAATGGAAATATTCGTACTACCTTAGCTTAAGTGGAGTTTTATATCACAAGATAAAATCCAACAAATCTAGCCGATGATTAAGCCTTTGAAGGAACGTCTGAAGTGGGAATGATCGTATCACCATAACACAAGCGGAATTTTATATCACAAGTTTAAAACAAACAAATCTTGCCAAGGATTGACTTTCGAAGAAATTCCAGAAATGGAAATAAACATACTGCCAGCGTATAAGCGGTAATTCATAACAACCAACAAATCTTGCCGATGATTAATCTTCGAGAAAAACTCGGAAAAGAAATAAATATACTACCATGGCATAAGGAGAATTTTATATGACAGTTTAACAAGCAACAATTCTTACCTTGCAAAACAAGTCTGAATTAAAAGTAATAGTAGACTCCGCAAAAAAAAAAAAAAAAAAAAAAAAAAAAAAGAAGTTTTACATCTTCCGTTCTACTGGCCGATTGACGAAATTCAAATTGCGTTTTTCTTGTCTCGAAAGCGCGACTTAGGATATATACTAGATTTATATATAGCATTGCTCTAATATAGGTATTTTGACACAAAATCGGACTTTTTCTGAAATGACATACCATTTTTTTTTTCATATTTCAATTCTACGACTCAAATTATGCCTAAATATTAAGTTTTGTAAAATGTGGTGCGAAATTTACGGAGAAATTAAAAAATTAATCTTGGCGTATATATTTTTTTTCAGTTTGCGCGAAGTATAATTCACTTATAACTTTTTAATATATGGCAACCTATTTTACTTTCCCTTTTTACATTGTGCATGAGAGTAAAAAAGTCACATCGTTCCTGGTCCGGCGAATTCTAAATGGACTGTAACTCTCAATTAAACTATTTAACAAACTACTCTGTAACATATCTTTATCTTTATTATACTAATTTTTGGAAGAACCTCAGGCTCCCACAATCACTCTCTGCTTCGCCATTGAAGCCAACTCTAAAGTAATTAACATTCTTTTTGTAAACAGTAACGATGGCAGCGCCATCTGGCTTCAGAGGGACTTAACACTCCCCCGGATTTGAAATTACAAAATTTCAAGAAATTATACATACATTGTAACTTAAACAAAGTTAATATACTTATAAACAGTATAATATACTATTACTATAACTACAGCTATTACAATACTAGGACAACAATACAATGCATATGCAAAATATCATTTCAGTTTTCTATCGGAAGAACGGCGATCTTTGTTATCGCTCTTTTTAATTCTCCCTGATTTTGTTTTGATTTTAAAACCGTTCTTACTTTATTGTCAGATCCATGATAGACTTTAATAACCCCGACCTATATCCATTTGCAAATTGGCAGATAATCCTCCTTGAGGAGTACCATTGTACCAACAGAAATATTGTCCTTCTCTATCATCCACTTGTTTCTCTCTGCTGCAGAGTTTCCTAAATAGTCATTTGACCATTTCTTCCAAATAATCTGAAATACTTTCGTTGTTCTCTGCCACCGGCTTAACCGATTTTCATTTACGTCTATTATCATTGGCTCCGGAATCGATCTGTATTGATCTCCCTATTAAGAAATGACCTGGGGTCAAAACGTCATAACAATCAAATCATTGGAAATAGGTGTAAGAGGTCTCGAAATTTAGTATTCCCTCTAACCTGCACAATTATAGTTTCAAACTCCTCATATGTAAAACGCATAAATTTCCTATCGTTCTCTTTAAATGTTGGATAAAGAAACTTTACGGACTTTTACACCGGCTTTTCGGAGGGCTATCCTCCGAAATGAGGGGACTTGGGAGGTATAAAATTCCAGTCTATTCTTTCGGACGTGAAATATGAGGCCAAAGTTTTATCAGGAAAATTAATTACATTGTAAAATTTCTTCAACAGAGAATTTGCTCCTACAAAATTAGGGGCATTATCAGTGAATATTTTCGCACATTTGCCACGTCTGGCCATGAAACGCTTAAGAGTGGCAATTAAAGCACTAGAAGTTAAATCAGACAAAGGCTCAAGATGAATAGCTCGTGTCACAAAACATATACATACACAAATGTAAATTTTATTTAGCACGCCCTTTCTCTGATGCTTGTAACTCACATAAAAGGGACCGCATAGATCCAAACCTGAAACACTAAATGGGGGTGATCTATTAACTCTCTCGTATGGTAAGTTACCCATAATCTGTGAAGACAAAATCGGTTTGCATTTAAAGCATGTCACACAAAGATGTACTGTTTTTCGCGCCAAATCTCTACCACCTAATGGCCAAAATTTTAAACGTACTGCATTCAATAATCCTTGGGGGCCAACATGCAATAATCTTCTGTGCACACTAGAAAAATAAATCTTACTTAGCTTAGAATTTTTTGGTAGGATTGCAGGATATTTCTGAGAAAATGGTAAAGAAGCTTTCTCAAGACGGCCATCACGAATTATTCCTTTACGATCAACAAAGGGATGTAATTTTTTTAAGTTACCTGTTATGTCCCTTTTACAAAATAGAACCCTCTGCTCATGTTTAATGAGCATTTCCTCAGCTATTCTTACCTCTTCTAGTTGAAGAGAGCCTACCTTTCTCGATCCACCTTTCCTGCAATTACAAATAAACCTAAAAATATAAGAAAGAACATTAATGATTCTATAATAATTGTTACTAATATTCAAGAGTTCGTCTAAAACGTTAGAGTTCATGTCAATCAACATAGTTCTCTCAGAAATGTCATTAATGTCACTAGAACTTTTGCTTTCTTGCACAAAGGATTCCCTTTCACTTGGTGTTAGGTTCTTAACCTCTGGAACTATAAGCTGTAAGCACTTGTAGGGAAGATGCGGCTCTGTAAAAAATTCTGCACAAGTCCACCACTTAGAATTGTTCACTAGAGAAGAGGCACTAACTCCACGCGTTAGAAGATCGGTTGGATTGTCCTTGGTTGAACAATAAAACCATGAATCTGGATTAGTCAACTTCTGAATCTCGTCAACGCGATTTTGAACGAAAGACTTCCATCTTCTGCTTGATCCTTTAATACAATACAGTGTAACTTTAGAATCACTCCAAAAAAAGATATTAGATGAACCTTTACGATCTAGAACTTTTTTAACTTCCGTTCCCAATCTTGCAGCAATCAGTGCACCCAGCAATTCAAGTCGAGGCAAGGAAACCTTTTTGACAGGTGAAACTCTGATCTTGGAAGCCAGCAAATTCACAGAAATTTTTTCTTGATTCTGTACCTTTACGTAAACGGCTGCACCATACAACTTTTGACTTGCGTCAGAAAAAAACATGGATCTCTATATTTTCATCACATGAATCCAAAGCAAATCTTGGAACACTAATGTTACTAAGTTCTGAAAGCTCGCTACACCACTGAGACCACTCGTCGTTCAAGTCAGAAGGAAGCTCTTCATCCCATGGTAATTTACGTAACCATAGCTTTTGTAGTAAAAGTTTTATTATAACAGTGAATGGTGTGATGAGTCCAAGAGGATTATATATTTTTCCAGCTGTTTGGAGGATGAAGCGTTTGGTACTTTTCTTTCTCCTCGAAATTTCCGTCAAACAAGAAGTCTCTATACTCAAACTATCTTCCTGAATGTTCCATTGAATTCCTAATACCTTCAGTATCTTTTCATTTGAGCTTAGCGGATGAATGTCGAAATTTTCTTCTTCCCATTTTTTAGCTAAATGGTAATCATTCGTCACCCATTTGCGTAGATTCATCCCAGCTCCACGCATAATTTCCTTTGCTTCTCTTGAAGTTTTTAAGGCTTCTGATACATCATCTGCTCCTGTAAGAAGATCATCAACATATATACATGTATCAAGAATTTGAAAGGTACCGGGATACACATTTCTGTACTTTTGGATATGCAGCTTTATAGTTGCCGCTAACAAAAAAGGACTGGAATTAACATCAAAGAGCACAAGCTTAAATCTATACACCTCTAGCTGATCCTCGGTATTTTGCAAATGTGTATCAATATTCTTAACAAATAAAAATCTAACTGCATCTCGATCTTTCTCAACTAACACGATCTGTAAAAATGCCTTTTCGATATCTCCTAAGATTGCGACTCTATTAAGCCTAAAATATATCAGCAAGTGAAATATATTTTGATTCAGATTAATACCTGGCCACAAACAATCATTCAGGGACAGACTACCTATTTCATGTGAGCTCGCATCAAATACAATACGCATTTTTGTCGTAATGCTTTCTTCTCTATAAACTGCCTGATGCGGCATATAAAAAACTGGCTTGTTTACTGGTTTCGTAGAATCTAATACTCTTTCTATTATCCCTTGATTTAGGTACTCTTCTAAAGTTTCTCTATATTTTAAGTATAATGCATTATCATGCTGCATTTTCCTCATCAGGATCTTTATTCTTTTTTCTGCGATACCAAAATTGTCGCCTAGATGTTCTCAACTTTTCTTCCAAGGCAGGATAATAACATACAGACCATCTTTGAAACTAACAGTTTTGTTGAATATCTCTAATGCTTTATCTTCATCGTAAGAATGAGATTATCTATAATACCAATTGATTCCAAATCAAAAAACTTCTTCAACTGTGCTTCGACATTGTCATAAATTAATCCACAATGCATTAATTGTTTCTCATGTGGTAAATCTTCAATCTACCGCTTACCAAATACCCAAATGCTGAAATTTTGTAACACTAAATTTGTATTTGGTACATAAATTTGCCCGGATCTTATCAAATCGAAAAATATTTCAGATCCTAAAAGTAACTGAATTTTACCCGGTTTGTAAAAGTCTGGATCAGCTAACGTGTGGAACTCGTAATATTACAAACCTTGTGGAATCTCAATATTACAGACATTCAATTTGTCTAGAAGGCATTAAATGAGTAATTTTTCGGAATTACGAAAAAAATCTAGTTTACGACTGTATGTGTTTTCCTCTATTTAAAATAACCGTTCACTTATTTTTGATTTCACCGTTGTTGAAATCCCAGATAAACATCCTACTGAATACGTTTTACATTTTCTCTTTGCAAATGAAGCTTCTCAGCTAATTCCGATGAACAAAAGATGAATCATACTTCCACTGTCAAGCAAAGTTCTGGCTGGCTGGAACATATTCTCCTCCATTTCCCTTAATATAACCAATCGCTGTCGATTCGATAGTAGGACTCTATTAACTGCATTACAATTTTTATTTGCATTAGCTGTCATAAAACACTCGTTATCCTTATTTATAAATGGCTTTGCGTGAGCGTTCAGTTTCGCTACTTCCGTAGACATACTGGCGTCTGACGTTTGATCTGACAGAGATGCGATTCCGCAACTGTCTCTATTTTGGGAAATCGAAACCTTTTCTCGCTCATAACACAGTAACGAATTGTGCTTTTTTCTGCATAGCTTACAAGAGTAATTTGAAGGGCAATTTCTCACTCCGTGATTTCCAAAACAGCAGAAACATAAGTTGTGCTTTTTAACATACTCTACTCTATCTTTTAAGCTGAATTTTTGAAATTTAGGGCATTTAAATAATTTATGTTCCACATTACACAGTTTACAAATTAAAGCACGTTTCTCAGTCACACATAAAACCATTGAAGAAACCTTTGGTTGACTTACCGAAACTTTTTATTTAGACATTACTGGAATTCTAGAAGCGCTTAATGTCCTCGCGTGATCCTTTAGAAATTCTAATAACTCTGTAATGTTCAGTATTTTTTCTTTCTTTAAATTCCTTTCCCACCATAACTTAGTATTCTGATCAAGGTTCTGGCTAAGAATAAAGGCAAATATAGCGGATGAAACCCCATCTAACTTTTGTTCTAAACATTCTAACGATCTTACAACTTCACTCGTAACATCAATTAAATTTAGAATCGCAGAAGCTGACTCGTTTTGAATAACGGGAATACTCATAAATCTTTTAAGATGAGCATACACTTGTTCTCTAGGATTCGAGTATCTTTCTTCAAGGAGAGACCACGCTAACTTATAATTATTATCCGTTATAGCTATCGTTTGGATAATTCTAAAAGCATCTCCTTTCAGTGCTGATTTCAAATACTGCAATTTTACAGCATCTGATAAATTTGGGTTTTGATCAATACTCGCTTTAAAAATATCCTTAAAGGAAAGCCAAGAATGCATTTCTCCTGAAAATGTCTTGAACGAAATCTTAGGTAAACGCACAACAGTATTTTCAGAAATTACTGCATTTTCTACTTTATTTTCTCTAACAACGTTCGACAATCTATTATTTATTTCAAATTCTATATCAATAATACTACTATTGATTTCATCTTGCTCACTGAAGATTTTTTCGATATTTTCTTCACCACTTAAATTGATAATAGAATCAAAAACATTATCGAATTCATTTTGCAGATTGTTAAATTTAGTTTTTAACAATTCTAAATCACTAACACTTAGAATCTGGCTCACAAAGTTTCTTTTGCAACTTCGATAAGATAGTTTTTTTAGAGTTCTCTTTTTAGTGAGAACATCTTTCAGTTTCGTAGCCATTTTCGCTACACTTATCCAATAATACAAAAATTATCACACAAACTTTAATTCAGAATTTACTAAATGCAACAGTTAATAATGAATAGAGTGTCAAGGGTTTTTTTACTTACCCCTTTCTTTCAGCAACTGGCTATAATCCACAAACACAAATTCCATAGAAACAAAATGGCAACTCACTGTTTTATACTAGATTATTTACTTAGCTGATATCCCTGCGGCTCTACTGGACCACTCAAATGGTCCGGCGAATTTTAAATGGACTGTAACTCTCAATTAAAATAATTAACAAACTACTCTGTAACATATTTTTATCTTTATTATACTAATTTTTGGAAGAACCTCAGGCTCCCACAATCACTCTCTGCTTCGCCTTTGTAAACAGTAACGATGGCAGCGCCATCTGGCTTCAGAGGGACTTAACAGTTCCTACTTTCAAATAATTTTAACAAAGCGCTTAAACACATTTGATATTATTATCGCTTTCAACAAATATGCCAAATTTCAAAATGGACAATGGATGAATTCACGTATATCTTCGTAAATTTTGAATAAAAAACTCTAATATTTTGCAGGTATGCTTAGAAATACATCTACTTTAAGATGATGGTAAAAAGGTTTATAGATTATAATTCAAAATGTTTTCGAAAAATTTATAAAAATTATTTAAAAATACAAATTTTAAAAATAAATCATAAAACATGGGTGAGTTTTGGAATTTTGGAACATGGGTGAAAATTTGGAATGAACCTAAATTTCGAAATATAAAAAGAAGAATCAAATAAGTTAATTAAAAAATGAGCGATTAATGAATATATACCAAATTCAATGAACACTGTGGAGCTAAATTTTTGAAAGCTAATTTTTTAAAAACTGGTACTGCGGTTTTTACAAAACTTGGTAGTTTGGCATAATTTGAGTCGTAGAATCGAAATATGGAAAAAAAATGTTGGCATGTCGTTAAGGAAAGTCCCATTTTGTGTCAAAGTTACCTATATTAGAGCATTTCTTTCTTTTTATCACAATTAAGAAGTTTAAAGACAACACTGAATTTCTCAAAGAAACGTATAAGAATGCATTTTATTTCCATTCTATCAAAGCAAACCTTTTACTCTTAATTTGCCTTAGCATTTAAAAGTAGTGAGCTAATTATTATTCTTGAAAGTTATTTAGATACAGATTTCATTAAAATTCTGTCGTTTGAAAGCATGAATATTTTCTGATAAAATCAATACTAATGTACCATGCTCTTCAAATCTAATTAATAAATATTTAATGAACAATACTTTGACTTAAAAAGATATGTATTAAAAAGTATTGTAAGATTTCAATCCTTACTCTGGTACCCATTAGGGACGCTATGCGAAAAAATAATATATTAAAAGTATGCATTTTACACTATGGAGTTAAAAGTTGCAGTATGCATAAGCTGGTATTTAATTCAATAGTTTTCACAGAGACGATAAAACACTAATTTAAATTCTAAAATAAACAACGAAACAAAAGAAAAATAATAACAACATTTGCATTAAAATTAAAGACAAACAAGATTTACCTTGGATGAAAGCAACTGTAGTTTTACATTTAAAAGAAGGGAATGTAAATGTGCTGCTTATTGTCGAACATATTCATTGTTGTTATAAATTCAATAAATTAATTAATACTCAAAGCGATTCGTGTTTTTCGTTTTGTATTTTAGCAAGAAATATTAGTTTTTTAAATTCTGAAGCTTATATATGGCATTAAAACATTTGTGTTAATTACAATGATATATTCTAATGTATTTTAATTTACTTAAATGAGATACGTCATTAAAAAAGCATATATTATAAGGTTATTAATACAATAATAAGGTAATTATAAGGTTATTAATACTAAGAAATTTGTTTATTGCCTTGAAGTCGCTCTTTCGTAAGCAATTACAGATTTATCGAATTTTAAAACTAAACTAAATATTTTATGTTTATCCGAATGGCAACACATTGAGAAATATCTAAACACGAGGAGGATAAATTAAGTTCTTTGGAGGATAAATTAAAGATCTCATTTTTTTTCGCCCAACATAGCACCTGACAGGGAGAATTTCAGTCCTGACAGGACGGTGTACTCAGCTAAGCTGTTGCCCTGATTAGTACAGCCGTTAGCGACTCTAGTTGGAATATCGTTGAGACCAGGTTTGAATCCCGGAGAAGGCATAGATGCTTGTGAAAGCATAGTATTTGTTCGACATAGGGGCACTTAATGTACTGGTGAGCCGACAGTCCTCCCGAGGAACTTGGTGGTAGAAGAAAATGAATAGGAGACATTTAGATCAGTTCCCTGGGTGCTCTTTGTCGAAATTGGAACGAAGATGTACACTAAGTGCTGTTAGACTATTCCTGAGCGATCAATATGAAATTTTGGTCCCTGCCCATTTCTATCTACGATGTTTAATATCATGTCTCTACGATGTTCTATCTCGTATGTTTAATATCATGTCCTAACGTAATGCTCCAAAAAATTTTGAAAAACCTCTTTCCAGTCAACTATTGCACCAAGGATAAAATTAATTGAAATACTGAGTTGGAATAGTCTATATAGCAAAAAAACTAATGCGATATCTGCTACAACAAATATTTTCAGTTTTTTTAAAGAGAATTTAGGTTTTTAATTAATTTCTTCTGCCCTCAGGACTCAAGTCTTCATTCTCTGTACTACTATACTTATGAGGCTAAAAATGTATTTTCAAAATATGGAAAT